GGTGACATTGGACCCACTGAGTAATCCAGGGTGACCCCTCCATCTCAAGGTCAGCTGCGTTCCAACCTTAACTCTCTCTCCCTGGTGATATAACATAGTCCCGGGTTCTGGTGAGTAGGACGGGGACGTCCTCGGGGCCATTCCTCTGCCTTCCATATAGTCCTGCTGCTCTGTGTATGTGTAGGATGCCTCTCCCCACATCACAGATACTGAGCAAATAAAAGTAGCCCCTCCTGGAACCCCCTCCACATACTGATAAGCACTGTTTCCTCCCATGGCCCACGCCGCGCTGCAACGCCTGCCTGGTCGGCCGCTCAATGGAGAGCAACGGTGAAGCCGAAACAGAGTCTGGGCTCCTGCCACCTCCCGCTGCTGCTCTGGTGAGTTTGTTTCTTGGACAACAATGCCAAGTGTGAAGCCCATCCAAGGGCAAGCTTATTCTGCCCCCTGCCAGTTCCAGTAATAGGTCCCTATTTATAATTATATAAATAATAGAAAAACATACTCCAGCTGCCCTCCCGAAGGAGCCCGTCTCCTATTTTTAGGCAGTCAGCCCTATCTCCCAATGGTCTGTGTCCCTGCCTCTGTGGCCTGGGTTGAGACAAAGATGTTGGTGGCTGTGATGGGATGGGGGACAATTATTCTAAAACTCCCTCAAAGAAATCACTGTCCCAAGACTGAAAGTGATTTCCTCAGAAGGGCAGAGGGTAGAGGGTGAGTTCTGTTTATTCGTTTTACCAGGTTCTGTGGGGGAGGGAGGGCTTGAAGACAAAGGAGAGACAGGCTGGCTGTTAAATCCTGGATCTTTCCTCTTTGCCAGCCATTCTACCCTGGCTGAATCCTCTTAATAAAGACAGGATTGTGGGCCCATTATACAGATGAGGATGTCAAGGTTCAGAGCAGCCAACCAGGAATGGCAGAGCCCATCCAACTCAGATCTGAGTCTGTCTCCTGCAACACGTTGTCACTCACGGTTGGCTTAAAAGACCAGGTGCCTTGGGTGAGAAAATGTTCTTTAAAAGATAATGTTTATTCAAGATGTAAATTGTGGATGATTCTTCTCCGACTGCATTCATGCTAAAACCAAGAGACCAGGAACTACGAGAGAGTGTGAGGGCCTGAAGGAGCTTAAGAGAACTGCCTGCGTCAGGGACCAGACACGGGGCGTAGGCCACCGCCCCTTCCCCCCAGGGTTCCGCTCCCAGGACGTATTTTAGGAGAACGTCTCTCACTAATCCCTGTCTTGTGAAGTGGTTTGGGTGTGGTCCTCTCTAAATCGCAGGCTAAGCACCACAGCGCTTAGAGTCCCTGTAAATTTCTAGGAGTCAGAGGCCTACAGATTAAAAGTGTCTTGTTGCTCCCAGAACAAGCCTGGGAAACGCCCCCAAGCTCAGCGATGAGAGGCATGGGGAGCAAGCACGGTGACTGCTAAGAACTGCCATTTACCCAGCTTCGCATCCGCACTCTGATTCTGGTTTATGGCTCATTCCCAAACACCTTGGTTTTCCCACCCAGGAAACAGCATGTGTTGAGTGCTTCCCCTCCAGGCTCCCGCAGCTGCTGGTACCCATTAGAGTGCCCTTTGGTGACAGCCGGTTCATGTCTCTTTCCTTCCAGCCTCTGGGATCCCTGAGGTCAGGGACTGGACTCCTTCGCTGTAGTGTCTGAATTCCTGGCTCTAAAGTGTGAGCGAGTGAATGAGTGAGTGAATGAATGAACTTAATAAGGACATAGTCTACTGCAGTTGTCTCAGATTGCTTGTAAGAGCAACGTATTAAACATTCAGGAACGTTGCAAGCCCAAATTGTTTAATTATTGATAGCTTGAAATTGACCACTGTGGGCATATTTATACCAGAAAATAACCAACAAATGCTATAAATCAGGGCTGCTGTCCCCCTTTTTCACAGCCTGTGTCCCAGCATACCACGGGGAGCACCTACCGTGTGAGGCAAGCACCTTATATATATATATATATATATATATATATATATATATATATAAATCCACATTTAATTCTCATACTACCACTACCATTGCCCTTTTACAGATGGAGAAACTGAGGCCCAGGGAGCTGAAGACACTTGCGCAAGCGTGGTTAGTAGCCTTCCCGGATGGGGTGGCGGGAGAGACCTGGCTCAGGGGCCTGGTGTGGCCTCACAGGCACCAGCCATTCTCATCACAGCCACGGCTTTTAATCAGCTCCTCTGGGAGGGGAGACACAGTTGCCTGGTGACGAACGTGTTTCCCAGCCCTCAGAGGGTCATGCTGTGTGCAGGAGGATAAAGACCACCCGCGGGTGCCCCGCATCCAGGCCTCCAGACAACAGATCCAACCAGCCGCGCCGGACCCCGTGCGAAGCTCCAGATATCCTTTGTGACGCCAGCAGAGCCCTGGGTAAGATTGAATTAGAGCTGTGACGTCCCGAAACAGCGCCGGTGGGCTTTGTGAGCAGAGAGCCCTGCCGCGTGTGTGCATCACTGCCAGAGGCGGGGACAAAGCCCAGGCAGAGGGTGGGGCCCCCAACACTCACGGATAGGTCTGTCCACCCAGCATTTGCCTTTGGTCTGTCCCTTTGGGACCACGGTTGGGGACAATCATGGACTCCCCAAAGCTCACCTTAAGGGATAACAGAGTCTCCCGGGGCCCCTGTTTATCCCTTACGTGGCCACCGCCCCTGTGTCAGCGTCCCCACTCCTCTAGGAGTTCCTTAGGAACCAGAGTGTGGCTCCTGGGCCCAGGCAGAGCCCTGAACACAGCAGGCCCTCCATACTTGTGCAGTGAATAAACGAAGGGAGGGAGGAAGGTAGGAACTCACAAGTCGTGCCTTGGCGTGTGCGCCTTCCTGCCGCCACAGGGAGTTCCCAACTATTTTTCCACGCCCTGCTGTCAGGAGGAAACCCCTCTCGGTGACCCCGCCCCAGCTTTCTCTTGGCTAATGTGGCTTACTTGGCCACAGACTGGGGAGAGCGGATGGGGACCCTCGGAGGGCCTTTGGGAGGAAGTGACCACCCTGAGACCTGGAGAGGAAGCCCTGGCTGTAGGAGGAGGGAGGGGAGGGCAGAAGGAACAGACGCGAGTGCTCGTCTGGGGGCTGACTGCGGCAGGTGGGCCTTGAGACGCAGCTGACACTACAGACAGGTGGTAGAATACAGACCATCTCCTTTCACCCCCTGCACTGGGGGCCTGTGATCACCTGAAGAGCAGAGCGAAGCCATGCGACCCCTCACTGTCCCTGAGCAGCATCGCGGACCCTCATCCACCCCCTCACCCCCCACATACTTTACCTCTGGGAGCAACCATGCCAAGGGGAGGTGATGCAGCCTTGAGAATGTCTTTGTCTGTATCGCCAGCAGAAAGCCCCATCACTGAATTCTTGAATAATTTAATATTATAACATTCCAGGAACCGATATTTTAAGTCAGAATAAAATTGTTCCCAGCACTTGTGGGTAATTCCCAAGGGGCCCTGGGATCCCCATTTCTGACCCCAAAAGCCAATCTGGGTTTCTAGATCCCTTCTGACCACATGCAGCCTCCAGGTCAGCTGCCCAGTTCACTCAGGCCAGCGGGTGCCCGGCAGCCCGCACTGACCCCCTCACCTCCCGAGGGTGCTTTTCAGATGCACTTTCCAAGAGCGGCCCAGCCCTCTGCAGGCCAACAGTAATGGGCAGCTGGGTTTTCAGCCAAGACCAGGCTGATTCTGCTGCTCTGGCCGGTGTCAGGAGCCCCCTGGTGGCTCTGAGCTGCACCTCTGCCTCTGGAAAGAATTGTGACCCTTAGCTTGGGCCTGTGGCTTGGCTTGGGCCAGCAGCTATGGGCACCCCCTTCCCCAGCACCCTGAGAAGCTGATGTAAGTGGGCCCACCCAAGCCTCTGTGAGTACCAGAGGACCCTTGCCCCCACCTCACCGCTACGGCAGAGCCTGGCGCCCAGGACACGAATGCGCCCATCCCTGACGGCCCTGCCAGTCACCAAGCACCCTGGAGCCCTGAGCCTGAGAACTGGCAATCTGGACTTTGGTTTTCCGCTTTCCTGTGTGATCTTTCTGGGAATCAGCTTCTCACTCGCAAAGTGGACACGATTCCACAGAGACCACCTTGAACTGTGTCCCATGCCAGGCCTTTTGGAAGGGACCTCTCGTTTACTATATTATCCACACTTTCAGGAGAAGGAATCCTGGACAGACAGGCGGCAGGACTAGCCTGCCCGCACCCCCTGCCCCCCAGCCTGGCTACAGAACTTGATCCCTGTGAGCCATCTTAATGCAGAACTTCTCCGATTGACTTGGGGACCGCCAGCATCGCATCTCTGGTGGTTTGTCTGAAATGCAGCCTCCTGTACCCTGCTTGAGTCAGAATGGGGGAGTGGGGAGGAGTGCAGAACTCCCTGCTCCTAAAATTTGGGATCCCCCTTGGCCAACGCCACTCCTGTGCTGTACGGCCAGGCTGGGCCGGTGGGCATGCGGGTGTGTGTCCACTTCATTAGGTGCTGGGAGGCAGGTGGGGCTTTCATAGAATAAGCCAAGCAAAGCACCTGGTGTGCATTCAAGGTGGATTACTATTGTTATATCCTTTATTGCTGTTCACCACAGAGCTAATTAATGCTCGTTGTCCTCCTTCACTGTCCCAGGGGAGCTTCCCTCCTGCGATCTGGGAGGATGTGTGGTGGAACCGGAGTGGGGGTGGGGATAGGGTGGGGGGTGGGCATGGAAACCTCCCGGGGATCCGCCCCTTCTCTGCTCACGCCCCAACTCAGCTCACACCTGCTTCTTTCCAGAGCCTGCAGAGGTGAGGAAGGGGCCAGGCACGACCAGCAACGCCGCTGCTGCCGCGACCGAGGAACCTCGGAGGTGGGTTCCTTGGTCCCCGCTCCCGGCTATTTCGGCCCTGGGGCGGGGCGCTCCCCACGCCCCGCAGTGCTCGAAGTCGGCGCGCGCTAGGACCGCGCCGCGCCGCCCTCCGCCGCTATATGAGGCCGCGCTGCCGCCCCACGCGGAACCCGCGGCTCAGACGGCTCCGGCGTCCTGACTCGAGTTGAACCCGAGGCTGGACCGGCCGCTGCGCAGTCGACGCCAGCCCAGGGCCTGCGAGGGACGCGCGCCAGGGGGCCCCCGCCGCGGGCACCATGGGCGCTGGCCACTCCGCGTCTGAGGAGGTGCGGGAGCTCGTGGGCAAGACAGGCTGTGAGTATCTCGCGGGGGACGGGCTCGGGGACACCGGCGGGGACCGCCGGCCGGCTGGCCCGGGGAATCCCTGTCCACCGCCGCGCTCCCGGCTTCGTGCCGCCTGCTGTGTGACCTTGGGCCGGCTGGCCCTCTGCGCCTCAGTCTCCCCCACTTTCCAATGGGTTCCCGCCGGCCACTTTGCAGGCTGCGGCGAGGAGCCCCGCCGCGGTGCTGAGTAAGTGCCGCGGCCACTAACCCTGCCCGGGTGCTCTCGAAGTTAGCCAGTCACTCCGGGGCCCGGGGACATTGGGCCCAGGAGGAAGCAGGGTCCAAGGCTCCCCACCCCACCACCCCCAGCTCGGGGCAGGCGCCGAGGTGGGGAGAGCGAGCGCCTGGCTACGCCCCGCTGGTGCGCGCCCTGCACCTGAAAGTCGTTTGGATTCCCGATGCGCAGGGGTCGGAAAGTTTGGAAGTCGGCGGCAGCGGGGTGGGAGCCGGGCTCTGACGTCGTCCTCCCGTCTGTAAAATGGGTTCGGGAGGGCTCAGCTCCCCGGGCAGCTGGGAAGCTGAAGCGAGAAGGCAGCGCCCGCAGAGCGCTTTGCGGGAGCCCTGCGACCTTCCTCTAGCCCGCCGGGCTCCCGGGACCCGCAGACGCGAGGCGCACGGGGAGGCCGCGGTGACCCCGGGGACCTGACCGGTGGAAGCGCCTGCCTGCCCAAGTCCAGCCCGGCTGGAAGCTTGACCGTGGGCCCTGACCTCGGGGGGCTGTGTTCAGCCACCGGCTGGGAAGCGGAGTGTGGACTGTAGACCAGCGGGGCCAGGGTAGCCGGCAAGTTGGCTTTGGAGGTGGACAGGCTGGGTGTGAACTCTACCAGTACCGCTCCTTCCTAGCGGTGTGACCTTGGACCAGTCATTTTACCCCTCGGAGTCTTGGTATCCTTCTCTTTGGAATGGGATATCCCCTAGTACCTGGTTGAAGCTCCAGAAACGGGAACTGCGGACGTAGTTTCTACGTAGGAGCTGGCGCCCGGCACCTGCCCTGAGTTTAGCGCAGACAGGCAGCGCCTGGAGTCAGTCCCCGGAGGAAACCCGCCCTTTGTGCGTGGGCTGAAAGACGGCTCCTGCTGAACGCCCCCCCCCCCCATCTAAACACCTCTTCTGAGGATAATTGGACGGAAATTACAGAAACCCCTTAACAGCTGGAGCGCGGGTGCGCGCCTGCATACACCCACGCCCACAGATACATGCATGTGTAGATATCTTCCTGTGTACAAATACAGAACTATCAGCAACTAGAGGGGGAAAAGGTGTGCAATAATATATAATATGGAACTCTTTTTTTAAAAAGGGAGGAGACTAAGTATGCATTTGTAATTGCTTTATTTGCATCAAGGACTCTGGTGGACCCACAGGCAGTAAGAATAGTGAATATTTACGGGGGATTGTGTGGAAAGGATGAAGGGGGAGTAAGCTTTTCCCTGTAAACTTTGTTATATTTTCATTTTGAACCACATGTACATATTTTACTTCTTCAAAATGTTTCATAAAGTCCAGTTCAGCCCCCAGGTGAATGGAGGAGGTAGGATTCCCTTCTCCCAGACTTTCTTGGGTTTCCCGTATGTCTTGAGTGCCCTCTTGTTGTTCACTCACTGTGTTGTGTTTGGACGGGTGGAGGTGGGGGTTCTCTGTAGCTGGGAACCCCCCACCCGCCAGAAGGGCGGGCCCCCATTTCTCCGGCAGCCCCCACGGCAGGCAGGCAGGCAGGCAGGGAGTCTGGGGGAAATTCCGGCTGGTTGCGGGTTTGACAGGGGATGGAGCCGCAGAGCATGCTGGGAAGCTTGTCAGTTTCCTGGGTCCAGACCGGTTGCGGGAGGGAGTGACAGATGCTGTGTGTTCTTGCTCTGGAGGTTCCCTCGGTGCGGCCGATGCGCTGGTGCCACTTGCTGGCCACGATTCAGGCTTCACACCCCGGCGGAGGAGGGTAGGCGCCTGGGGTTGGGAGAGGTTCTGAGGGGAGGGTGCACGCCTTCAGTCCCCTGAACTGTAAGTAAATGGAAAGGCCTCTGAAAGGGGCTGGCACAGTCTGGGCACTTCTACCTGTTCCTGTAGGGGCCAGGGAGAGGCCGATATTCCTGAGCGGAGACACACAATACAATCAAATCAACTCTAGGTATCGCGCTCTATGAGGGAGACAATATGGGCGTGTGAGCGTCGGGGGAGGGGCAGGGACACTGTCCTTCAGGGTGCACCTGAGGTCCTCTCTGAGCAGATGGTGATGATGGTAATAGAACAGAAACCCAAGTAAGAAGGAGCCGGCCATGTGATCAGTCGAAGGCGCATTTTGGGCAGAGAGAACGGCAACTGCAAAGGTCCTGTGGCAGGAGCGAGTGGAGGGCAGTGAGTGAGAACCACATGAGGTGAGGACACAGCCTCAGTCAGGCTCAGGCGGTAGTTTTGGGCGAATGTTTAGTGTTACCGGCCATGCTTTAAACACATGTACATGGCCCGGTCACTCCGAGCCACAGCTAAAGTTAGGTCTGAGCCTTACTTCTTCCCGGCTGCGTGACCTTAAGCAAGTCACTCGCCCTCTCTGGGCATCAGTGCACCATCTGGGTTCTGGGCTCTCCCGGAGGATCAGCCGGTCCCTCCCCGAGGACTCCATCTGGAAACTGTGAGAAGGGAGGGCGTAGGGCGCTGACGGAGTCCCAGAGCATCCGGTTCTGTGCCGAGCATTGGGAACGCACACCGGTGGAGTGTTCTGAGTAATCCATCAGGGAGGGTGGCAATGTCACGTTTTACAGATAAGGAAACTGAGGCTCAGGGGTAAAGCAACTTGGCTGCTGTCCCACAGTTCATAAGTGGAGGAGTGGGGGGGGGGTCACAGGATCCCCAAGTCCACTGTCTTACCCCCACTCTGCTTTCACTGCGTTTAGTTGCCTCTCTGACTGATAGGAACTCCAAAAGGGTAGGAAAAGCCTGCCCATGTATTTTTCTTGCCTCCGGGCCTTTGCACAAGCTGTTCCCTCTGCCTGGTATGCTCCGTCCTGTTACTGTGCAGATTCAGTATTTGCATACGGGAACCACCCCCCAGCCTAAGGTCACAGGCACCTCCTCTTAGCGCTGCCTCTTCACAAAGCTCAGGCTCAGGCTCCATCATTTGGGCTCAGCGGAGCTGTCGTTCCCTCCCAGAAACCCATCCCTGGCTACTTGCTCTCCTTCCAACCTCTGTGGGTTCCTTGCCCATCCTCAGGGTCCCGCAGCCCCTGCATTCCCTCTCCGTACAGCACAAAGCACAGCCTGTTACCATTGTTGCCTTTGTCACCTGTCACCTCCCTTGAAACTTGGAGCTCTCTGAGATGGGGATGAATGTGTCTTCTCACCTTTGTGCACAGCACATGGTCCTTGCTGAGAACACAAGAGGTTCACATTAAAGGGGGGCAACCCTTAGGACTTGATAAACCTGGGAGTATTGCTCAGGAACTCCTGTTTAGGAGAAAACCTAGTCCCTGTTCTGTGCACCCCACCAGCTGGTCTCGCTGGGACCCCAACTCCCCACCCAAGCTTCCCTGATCCCCCCCTCAACATGCATCCCATTGGCTTCAGCGCTGAACTAGCTCCACCAAAAATAGTGTTGAGCGCAAGCTCGCCCACACAGGGCATCGCTGGGGCTGCACGCCCACCTCCCCTTGCCGGGCGGAGTCTCACTGATTGGTTGAAAACATAAACAAGCATTCCCAACTATCACTGCTGAGCCAGGACAGCTGATCACCTAGATTGTTAAAGCACACTAAGAACTCGAGCAAAGGTATCCTGGTTGTGGGTGTGAGCGGTGAGCTGGTCTTTCTGATCCAGCCCAGCGTGTGTCCCGAGGTGCAAAACGGCCCCTGGACAGGGAGAAAGGCTCCTGAGGAATCACTCCCCCGTTCCCCTTCACCACCTTGGGCTGGCCTGGAGGTAGCCCCACTTCCTGTCCCCCACCTTGTCCGCCCCCAGTCTGTGCCTGCTCCTGGACTTGGAAAGGAAATAATAAGAGGAGGATTCTGGGAAAGGTGAAGGGTCTGTTTTTTCCTTCAGGCTCCAAAACAGCTCCGCAGGCATGTCTCTGCAGAAGCTGCCAGAAGGAAGAAGGGAAAAAAAAAAAAAAAACAATCTCTCAGATCTCAAGTGCAGACCTCGTACTGGTAACGGCTAACGTTTACCAGTGCTAGTCATCTGCCAGGCGTGGGGCTGGGCCGTGGGATCTCCCGGGAATGCTGGCGGGCCCATTGTATAGGTGAGGAAATTGAGGTTCAAGAGATGATGTGACTTGCCACAGGCTTCTGAGCAGAGTCAGGGTTCCATTCCTGGTCTAAGCCCCAGACCTTGACGTTGGGGGAGGGAACCAGAGATGGGCGTGCACTGCTTCCACTGGATTCTCGCCACTGGGCGATACTGCTGGGTTAGAAAGTCTCCGTGTGGCCCTGGGCCATGGCTTCACCCCGTTTACCCTGTGCCACGTTCCCCTCTGCTCCGAGCACTGGATGCCCCGTGGATCTGGTGCCTCCCCCGCCCTCCAGATGCTCAGGGCCAGGGTAGGGTCGGGGGCAAGGACAGGCTGACCAGGCCCCTGTGCTCTCTTCCTGTCGTTGCCAAGGCACGTGAAGCTAAAAGGCGAACAGGACCTCCCCCGCTCCCTTTCCATGTCTTCCGGAGTGGACAGTGGCTTTCAGCTGGGGATTCTTGGGACGGCCATGACAGAGGTTGCAGGACTGAGTTGTGTGGCTCGGGGGGCGCGGCCCCTAGTACCCGTCCGCTCCTCAGAACCGTGGAAATGTATTCCATTGCATGTAAAGCAGAACCTCAATAAGAAACTAATAATAAAAGCACTTAATTTTTCTGAGAAAAATGAGAAACCATGGCGTCCTTGCAGGGAGGAGCAATGCAGTCTGTGAGGCCCCGAGAGGACCAGTCCCCGCAGGCAGAGCTCTTCGGGCAGGTGGGGGGCAGAGGGAAGGACAGGGGTCTGGCGTCCTGGGGAC